TAGACTTAGGTCCTTCAACATTATATAATACGAAGTATTATATTGTACCAACTTGAAGTGTACCATATTTTACTAATAATGTTATCCGCTAAGCAGTCACTTCAAGTGGCGGTTTTCTTAATTGTAGTATAGATCGTCAGTATTTTGGGACACTTTTAATCTCTCCCTAATTTTGCGGTTCTCTTAACCAGAGTTTAACTACTTTTCTTAAACGCAAGTAGGAGAAAAATTATCAGTTTTCTACCCAAAGGAAGTGGTAATAAAACGGATCGGCCAACTTGAAAAAAAAAATTATGATTCCTATTATTTTTTTCTCATCTTCACAAATCTCTGTTACACAGTTCTTACATAATTATTCTCGATGGCGGTCAATTTGGAAAAAATTTAATGGATAGATAGAGGAAGTAATTTTTAAATAATTCGAATCTACTAAAGTCATTGACTTTGGTTATTATTTTAGTGCAAATAACATTCGAGTACCATTTAGAATATCCCTTATTTTCTCTAATCATCTGGGCAATAGGAGTTCTAGAGAGCAATGATTTAGTGGAAAATCTTGACTTTGTCATTGTGGGAAGTGTAACCATATATTGCATAAGTAGTAAAAGTGCTTAAAATTTCAATGTAATAGAAAACGATTTCAAAAAGCCCATACTATACTAATACTAGATTTTCATAATTTCTTAGGTGTCCATGTTTGGTTGGCGGGGTTTATAAAAGATCAAGAAAGTTACATTTCTGGTGATATAATAAGGAGGGGATGTCAAACCCTTCCATGCCTTAGGTTATCTGACATTCTCGGAGATATCCTAATTTTCTTCCAAAAATACTCTCAATTAATTACTACATCCGTCCTAAATTGTTTTGTAAAGTCATCATCTATTAACCCAATCTTACAGTTAAATCCTCAATATTGATAATTAATTTAATTTTAATAATTAAAATTTACATATTAGAAACTAAATCAAAATCTCTATAAAGTTATAAAATCCAATTTAAAATGTAATTAAGAATTGATATTCTAATTAAGTGAATAAAATGAATATATTTGTCTCAAAGAGTCAATTTAGCAACACAATTAAGATGGTGGGAGTATATCTTTTCATTTAATTTCTTTTCGACTCTTCCATCTTCAATTGCGAGTTAAAGTTTTTTCATCATATTTTCTTCTCATCTTATGACAATAGACTTTTAGTACTACATCCGCCTCACTTAAAGATTCCCGTCCGTTATTCTACAGTTAAAATAAATGCTCTTAATCGTTTACTGTATATATTCAACTTTTATCAAATCTGATTTTTTTAGTCTGCAATAGACAATTGAACATTTTTGAAATTGTATTTTTTAAATAATAATAAATATTTTTAGATTACTATTTGAACAAAGGTTTTTTCATTTCTATATTGGAACTACAACTTTTTACAATTAAACATACTTTACTTAAAAATAATTCATTTAGTTTAGATTTATTTATTATTAAGATATTTCATTTTTTTTCTTTAATTAAAATTACTTAAGATGTTGGTTGTAATAGATCTATTGCGTTAAGAGAAAATATTTACGGGCCATTCAAATAATTCACCAAATCTGCAATACAAGATATCTTCCATTCAAATAAATTAATGTCACAATCTCTTAATAATCTTAACCAAACACAAATTGAAATAATTTGAATACGTTCTCATCAATCTAATATACCAGTAATGTAACATTCTCATAGTAATCTGACATTCCTTGGACCAAATGAGCCCTCAATGTTATCTCAAATTTGTCATCACCATTCTAATTAAGGATATTTTCAATTTGGATCAATTTTTTTATCCGAGTTATGAAAGTAAAAGTTATATTTTACTTTAGTGTATATACTAAATATTAACATAATTCTTGATATATTTTTATTGAAGGTTTCAAATATCTGAAAGAATTATTAATTTCATATATCGGCAATCATATTGTTATAATAAAAGTGGCGTTTAAGAGCTTGACGAATCAGGTAGGCTATGCATATATGATAATTCTTTTATTCATGGATGTAACTTTGATATAGTACTATTTGGTCATCAAATTGAGATCATTTTTCGTTTCTAAATGAGGCATCTTTATTTTTTGTTGCATAATTAGATATGTTTATGTTTCGATTATTACCTACTACTTGACGTGAAAATCTTTTTATAAATTTAATTCAGCAGACCTTTTAGGGGGGAAAAATTGTCTACTAAATCATGCAACTTTTTTACGTTCAATAACACTCATTTCGAATCAACCTAAAGAAAAATAGATGCATCGCTACACTCGCTTTATGTAGCCGGCCTGTTGTCACCGCTTCACCTTTGTAAAACAAAATGTCGCAAAACCATATATTTTAAATTCTTTTTATCAAAGTAGGGGATAGAAGGACTGAATTCCTCAATCCTAAATCATAGAAAGACTAATATCTTAAAAAAATGATCACACCCATTATTAAATAAATAAGTTACAAAAATGTGTAGTTATTAGTTTTGAAAAAACAACAAGCCACCGATGAAATCTAATGGATAAAAATAGGCATTGAGGAATTTCATTTTTTGTTTAGATAAAGATTGGATAAAGGACGAAGTTCATTTGGATGCAACCAAGCGTTATAAAAAAATTTGCTCTTTTGATTAGAAAACTAAGACTGAGAACATGTTTATATGTTTTGTTAAAAAATAAGACATTTTCAATAAATGTTATAATCGATTTAATAATTTAAGTGACCTTTTATCAGTTATAATTACTCATACATATGTAAGTGCGTGCGCACACATATATACAATATAACTAAAAAATCCTTCTATCTCGTGCACAACACGGGTAAAGATACTAGTATATAATACATACAAGTTCAAGTTATGTCTCCTTTTTTTTATTTATTGATACCGTTAAAATTAGGACTTTCCTCCTCTAATCACAATTAGGACTTCTAGGTTCAAACATAGATGAGATGATCAGATCTAGAAGATCAACCCAAGTCGCTAAACAAAAAGTGGATTTAAAATAGCTAATGCCGATCATACAAATCCTCATAGATCTAACAACATTAAAACTAATAGTATTGAAAGTCATCCTCACAAACCTAATAACACGATCTTGAACAAAAAAGCATACCAACAAAATAACTCATAAAATCGACGCTTATTCCAATTTCTCTATTTATTTGATGAAAATGAACTACAACCTTCCAGCATTGCGACGGTAACACCATAAGATGAGATGGATTACATGATAGTTTTTTATACAAAAATATATCTAGATTTGACAGAATATCATTACGCATCGAACAAAACATACTCCCTCCGTCCCAATTTATTTTGCAAAGTCTAATATTTTTTTGTCAACCAATAATGAAGGGAGAAAGTTCTCAAAATAGGACTAAAACAATTTGAAAATTTCAAAATAGGACTGTCATTTTTTTTAATTCCAAAATAGGGGTAATTACTACCAAGTTTGAGAAACACTACCATGTTTGAAGTCTGGTACTGTAAAAAAATGTTAGTAATTAGTCCTATTTTGGGAATAAAAACATAACAATCCTATTTTAGAATTTTCAAACCTTTTTAGTCCTATTTCGGGTAATATTCTCTAATAAAAGTCAACTCTCCCTATGAGTAATTAATTCAATTTTTAATAATTAAAATTTACATATTCAAAAACTACATTAAAATTTCTTCAAAATTGTAAACTCCAAATTAGAAAATAATTAAAAATTGGCATCCTAATTAAGTGAACAAAATGAGAGTCTTGTAACTCTGACTAAGAAAAGTCAAATTTGTAACTCTTTTTTGGACGGAGGTAGTAAAAACAATCCAAATACAACCCAAACACAAGGGTTTTCATTTAGTTTATTTTATTCTTTAAGCTAACTAGTCATGTCACTAGCATTTGTTTTTCTTAGACATTGTGAATCTTTGATATATATATATAATACCACATATTGTTTTATACTCCATTATCCATTTATCATATAAAATTTCTTCTCAATTCTTTTTTGAAAAATTTCGTGTGACTAACATTCTTTTACTTTTTCTTACTCAATCGCATCCATACATTTTTACTTTATTCTCACTTTCTTAAATTCCAATGCAAATCAAATCAATAAAAACTTTATGAAACAGAAGAAGTATTAAATACTATCTCCGTCCCACGTAGGGATGGACTCGGGCCGGGCCAACCGGCCCGGAACCGGACCGGCCCGCTACTGTGCGGGCCCGGACCGGCCCGGTCAACCGGTTCGGTTCCGGTTCGGGCCTCCAGGCCCGGTGGTATACCGGTCCGGGCCCGGGCCTCCAGTTTAGTGAACCGGCCCGGCCGGGCCGGGCCCGGTTCGGGCCGGAATTTAATTTTTTTTTTTTTTTTTTTGAAATTTTTTTAAGTTTTGGGTTGGATTAGGTATTTTGGGCCATTTGAGGTGGTTTGGGGTGGTTTGGGGTGGAGGGGGAGGGGTAAGGGGTTAAATAAGAGAAGAAGAAGAAGAAATAAAAAAAAAACATTCCGGGTGGCCCGGCCCGGCCCGGCCCGGTTCTGGCCCGGAACCGGAACCGGAACCGCCCACCACCGGTTCGGGCTCGGGCCTCCTTTTTCTGAACCGAGGCCCGGCCGGGCCCAGGCCCGAACCGGGCCCGAACCGGAACCGGTCCACCCCTAGTCCCACGAATATTGAGAGATGAGAGGATTACACAATTTTTAGGAAAAGTGGTTTTAAGTTGATATTGAATTGATAAAGTAAAAATAATGTACAAATAACTTTGAACCACACAAACTTTATCAAATTTGATATGAAACAGTCGTAGTGGGACAGTGGGACAAACCGAAAAGGAAAGATAAAACAATATCTGCTGGACAAAGTAGTATGTTGCAAAAATTGAATTGAAAACATCTTTCAATCTTGCTATGTTGCGTGGATAAAACACAGAAAATAAATTGTCACCGTTGCTCAAACTAAGCAAACAATATCGTGCATGCTGCGAGATGATAGTCCGTTTTGTAAACAAACACTTATTCATACAACAAGCTCTATAAAATGCTGAACTCCATATTTTGTGATTGCATGACCCATACAACTTTCTATATTTTATTATACCAAGTAGTTGTATATTTGAAAATACATATACACCCTTTTAATATAAAAAAATAAAAATAAAAACGATCTTCAAAATGGTGAAGGGAGGAAAACTTTGCCTCTTACAGACAAAGACATGCTATGCTAATCAATCAAATTAAAGAATAACTAGGCTGTCCTCATAACTACAAGCTTCAGACTAAGAGCAAACACAACAGCAATAATATATATAGAAAAAGATCATATTAAGTACTCTCTTCAAGCAGGTAATACATGACAAGAAACCCAAATAATAAGAATTGTGGTCATTCAAATGCGGCACCATGGCATATAGAAGAAATGCTTGCTTGAGATTCAATGGCAGAATCTAAAAGAGGTCTACCTTCCTTTTCATCATATCTTGTTTCCATTTGGGTAACTTAAGGAATGCCTCTCTTGTCGTTCCGAGAACTGCCATGAATTCCTCATCTGATAGATAAGCCTGTGAAGCAATTGTCAACAATCAGAAAGGAACATTTTGAGTTCTGTTTGTTTCCTTTCCTGGATTCTTTATTTTATGTTTTTGTGAGTTAAAATTATACAGAGTATTATATATAGATGTGTAGAATTTATTTTTCAGAATTTCACATAAATTATTTTCCACAAACTTTTTTTTTTCAGAACTACCGAGCGGAGCATAACAAGCAAACGTATTATGCCACAAACCTCTCTCCGCTTAAAATCAATCCCTGTGACAGGGTTGGCCGATTTAGCCTTCAGTCGCTCATAACTAAATATAGTCTGCCCACATTCGCTGCTCTCATCCAGTTCTTGCTCTGGCTTTGCATTGGATTCTGTCCAATCGGTTTCTACAGCATATTCAGCTACCTCTGTTTCCTTAACTTCGGGAAATTCCTTGGAATCTTCAACTGCATCAGCCGCTTTATCATTCTCGCTTACTTCTGCAATTAAGTTTACGATGTTACACAGAGACAAATAGACAATCTAGTGACGGTTGTTAATATCGAGTGTAACAGGCGAGCTTTTCATAATGAAGAATTAGAACCTCTCATGCTGGTATTTTTTTCTCATCTTTAAACTACTTCTGTTCCCAAATTAATTTTATGACCACTATTCCTGCAATCAACTTAAGTCGCTCTTAAAGGGTGTTTGGATCTGATTCTTAAAACTGCTTCTGCTCTTTGAGGGAGCAGAAACAGAAGTTGGAGTTGGAGTGTCTGGGTGAAAGTGCAGAAGTGATTCTGGTGCTCTAATTTACTCCCAGAATCAGTTTTTTAGAAGCTGGGGAAGACCAGCTTCGGAAAACTGATTCTGATTCTGCTTCTAAATTATCTATATTGATTATTCTAAAATTATTTTCCACTTTCTATTTTAGAAATAAAAGTGAATAAAACATTTGGTGTGCTTCTAAATATGTAAACTTTGACTATTAATACTAACGCGCAGTGGCGTATCAAGGAATTGTTGTGACTTGTGAGTAGGGGCGAGGTCATACTACTCCCTCCATCCCATAAAATTCTTCTCACTTACTTTTGGGATGTGCCAAATAACACTTTTTTCATTTCCCTTTTTAAAAAAATTTGTGTGGCTAACATTCGTTTACATAGTCAAACACAATCATACATTTCCATTTTATTCTCACTTTCTTAAACTTTGATCCAAGTCAAATTAATTGAAAAGAAATTCATAAGACGGAGGGAGTATATATTATTTCAACTTTCAAGCATGTCACAAGCAGCTAAACACTTTAAGAAAATTAGTTCAAAATTCATCATAAATAAAAACTAACCGATCAGCTAAAAAATATGAAATCATGCTTAAAAATTTGATTAAAAAAAATTAATGTTGTGTTAATAAATAAATACTTTGAATAGGGGATTCGTAGTGTATGTATTAAGAATTAATGTAAATTGTGAATGCAGAATTATATCTAAAAATGAATTTATTTTTTATTTTTTTGCCCGTTAAATGAATGTATGCCAAGTGTAAAATGTAATGAAGTATATTTTAACTCTAAAATTGTAATGAAGTATAGATTAAAAACTAAAAATGTATGTATATATTAAATCACTTTAAATTGGTTTGATACTTTAAAAAGATTTTTGAACGATACTTTAAAAGGGTAATAAGGAAGATATTGGATGGGAAATTAAAGTTGGGAACAAAAATATGGACCAAGGATTCGAACATTGAACCTACGGGGGACTACAAACGCACGCAGCTCCTCTTCCGCTGCACTAGACTCCTCTATTATTACAGTTTGAGTAATTATGGTATATATTATGTATATTCAGCTCAAAAATATATGTGTAATTGGTTTTTTAAAAATATATATATGGGGGTTGGGTGGGGGTAGCCGCCCCTCCAGCCCCCACCCTGGATACACCACTGCTAACGCGAGTATAATCGTGGAAGAGTTAACTTTATCAACAATCATATACTCCCTCCGTCCCTTATAACTTTGCCAACTTTCCTTTTTTGGATGTCCCATTAACTTTGCCATTTTCCCATTTAAGTAAAGAATTTGTGGTTCCAGTTAATTCTCTCTCCTCTGCACAAACCTCAACCACACAGTTTTTACTTTATTAATCTCCGTGCCGGTCAAACTTGGCAAAGTTATTAGGGACGGAGGGAGTATTGTATATCGAAATGGACACTCTGGTATAATAAGGAAACAGATCATTTGGGTATATATCAGCTTCTGGTACGGAAGTATAGTAAGGAATAATTCATCAATTTATTAGTCTATTAGATAAATAGTATTAATATGTAGTACTCCGTCCATCCCATAAAATAGTTCTCGCATTGACTTGGATCGGAGTTTAAGAAAGTTGGAATAAAGGGAAAATGTATGGTTGTGGTTGAGTAAGAAAAAGGTAAATGAATGGTAGCCACACAAAACTTTCCAAAAGGGGAAATGGGAACTATTTTTTGGGACGGCCCAAAAAGGAAACCGGGAATTATTTTGCGGGACGGAGGGAGTATATTTTATGAGTCATATACTTCAGAAGGAGATCATGAGGATACACAAATAATAAGGATACTATAGAAGCATACCAGTAACGGGACGTGTTTCTCGGAGTGGGCTTTTAACTAATCGTGCTGGAGGGGTTTCAGTTGGCTGCTTTTCAGCAGTAAGGACAGAAGACAAAGCAGCTATAGCAGCAGCCCTTTGAGATCCCTGACTTATCGCTACTGGCCTTGCAGATGAAGTAGTAGGTTTGGTTGAGGAAGATGAGCTAAATGCAGAATTCAAAGCAGCCAAGGCTGAAGCTCTTTGAGTCGCTCCTCCCTGATTTGTCCCATTGGATCTTGCTTGATTCTGATAAAAAGGGGAAGTTTCAAAGATTAAACCGCATACACATATAGTTATATATATTGAACATGCGCACAAACTTCAATCGCTCATAAATTCTATTCCCACAAAAAAATGATCTCTGAATGTTCTTTTGCTCAAATTAAAATCTTCTTTGATGCTCCCTCCTCATAAGTTCTTTTAGCACTATTATCATGGATCAATTCAATTCTTTTGGGATTAAGGCTTGGTTGTTGTTGTTGTATGCTCCCTCCATCAAAATTATAAGCCCCTTTTTCTTATGGTGGTTTTCAATGAAAAAAGTACAATATAAAATGTAGTGCGCTTCCCAAAATTATCCCTCAAGTGGGGCCACCAACTGTGTCAAATCATCTTAAGATGTAAATAAAGAAAACATGGTGAATAAGAAACAGTACAAAGCTAATGGTGTTGAAATTAGAAAATTTAACATTATTTTGGTTCAGAGTAAAGAAAGAAAAGTACTTCCTCCTTTCTTATTTAGTTGCAACATTCTCATTGTCACGCTTGGCAAGACACAACTTTGACCGTCATTATATATAATTCTCTATTAGTAAAAAACCAAATTATGAGACTTTGTAAAGAGACAAATTTAACAATAACTTAAAAAAATAAATCTTATACATTACGTATTACCAGAACCGTCCAATGAATTTGGAGGCCCCGTTCCAAACGAAAAAATTGAGGCCCTATGTTAATATTAAGAATTAGAAAGAAACTCAAATGAAATACTTTTACTGAAATCAATTGAATATTCATAAAAAAAATGTAATAAAAAAAACTAAAAATCACTTTATTGTTGATTTAAATCTACACAACTCATCACTCAATCAATTTGAATAAAACATGAGTAAGACTGTAAGAGTACCGACAAAAAAACTTTATTTCATTGATTAATATTTATTTATATTATTACTATGTAATACTAATAAACTTTTAGAAAATTGGGGCCCCAGAAATCGGGAGGCCCTGTTCTGTAGAACATGTTGAACATGCTAAACGCCGGCTCTGCGTATTACTACGTAATAAAGAAAGTGCGGTCAAAGTAGAGTACATGAATAGTGTAGAATTTTCCATGTTGCAACAAAAAAGAAACGGAGGATAGTATACCAAATTAAGTTGGACATGGGAGTAATCATTATTGAATATTAATTATTAAGACATCCTTCTCTCCATTTAACGGTGATACACAATATCTGTATTAAAAGGACAGTGATATATGTATGGAGAAGGTTAATGGAGGGGAATAATAAACGTATTTCCAAATTACCACCACTTGAATAAGTACAGATGAGACAATTTGAGGGTAATTTGGAGATAAAGTTACCATTCCCTAACTCTCACTACCCATATCTTTATCCTATTAAGAGCCACTTTACTCATCTGAACCCTATAATGCTTATAGAGAATTGCGGAAGAATATTTTAATATATGCAGTACTACGTCTGTGACTTCAATTGTTTTTTATTTGTGACATCCCTATTATGGACAGTAGCTGAACAATTCAAATATTCATATCAACTAATCAACCTCCCACAAAATTTAATAGAGTTATAAATGTCTTGTGAAGAACATAAAAACAAGCACATAAGGAATATTAAACAACGCAATTACCGCTGCAGCATGGCTTGCGCCAAATAATAGCATGACCTTTTTCTGAAATGAGTTTCCGTGTACCTGGTTATATAGCATAAATAATCAATTGTGAAACATTATTGTTTTAAGAATACTGGACATGCCATTATCACTAAGGGCCTGGTTGGTAAGCATTATTTGGCTGAAATGGGTGAATACGCTAAACTTTGGGAAGGAAAGTGTTTGGTAACACCCATTTCAGCCAAATAGGTAAGTGAACAGCTCCTTATTCTTCTCGTTCTGTTTCTTATAATGCCACCAAACAGCACCTATATATGATATGAATTGGCACATCTTCAGAAAATCTTGTTCAAATGTGAAGTCCAAGTATTATAATAAACCACAAATGCAGAACATGAAAAGTAAGCCGAAAAGTGTTTGGACATACGGTAGCTTTTGAAGTGTCCCAAGAAAAGAATGTAGTGAAGAAGGTAGGCTCGTTTCCTTCGGAGACTTTATACAATGGAACATGTAGTGATAACCCTTCCAAAGATGCAGCCATCTCAGTATATTTCTGGTATTGAATTCATTGTTGTTACATATTAAAAAATGAATACCAAATGAATATTTCTTCATAAAATAGAAAAGTCATAAAAATAAAGAACTAATTTAGTACCAGCCCAACTTCAAAAGCATTCTGTTTTTCATTTGGGTCCGTTGACTGACCAACCCATACGAACACCTCAGCATGTGTGTCTAGTATCAATACATCCTCAGTCAACAGATCATCTTGGGAGAAGTTGTACACTTCGTCAACCTAACTCAAGAATTATTAGAGGAATAAATAAGAAGGGGAGTGGTGTAAACATCCCTAATAATGCGTAGAAATATTTCACCATGAGCCAAGCACAAGGAAATACCTCAAGTTTTCCTGATATCCATATGCACACAAAGGGTTGGTTAAAAATAAAAGTTTTAGGTTAGTGACCCAATTATTGTTGAAAAAAACTAAATGAGTAAAAAAGAAAGAAATTAATAATTAATGATATAAAAGGTTGTACCTTTGTCGATATAATATGTGAACAAATGGGGATCACGGACAACTTCTGGAGGAGCTTTATTGCTTGTGTAACTTTGTTTGCCCCCGAGAGCAAACCAGAAAGCCGAGCTTTCAGTTCCTTCTTTAGTGTGCTTTACGGTTACTCCTGGCTGTTAACATGATTGAAATAAAACCAAGCCTAATTAGTAGTAACACAGCAGAAACCCATATAACTGTGACCAGAGTGGTGGAATTGTCAATTCCGTAGTGGGCTTTTCGTTTCTTTTCCTTGAAAGAGGATAAATGAGAAAAAGAAAAAGAAAACACCATTGACAGAACAGGAGTATGCAAGAAAAGGCTTACCTTCAAGAACTCAGCAATCTTTGCAACTAACTGTTGCTGCTCATGTGTACTCTGGGTTCCATGCCAAGTGAAAACTGAAGAACCAGATTGAGCAAGAAAACACTCATTTGAGTTCAATGAAGTTGCCACCTGATAAAACAAAACCCTTACTCACATGCCATCCATGCAACTCATTGTGCATTGTAAACAGTTCTTACTCATATTCTGAAATTTGTAACATTAATACAAAAATGTATTCAAAAGCTGAATCTATTTGTCTAAATCCTAGAATCTTTTCAAGTTAAAAGAGAAGTTCCACAATTGCACTTCAATTGTGGGGAGGGATTTTATAAAGAATAAGAATTATTCTAAGATAAATCAACAAGAATTGACAAAAACCAAATTAAAATGTTTTTAGATACAAAGAAAACATTCACATTCCCAAGCAAAGCTCATTGACGAGCAAAGTGACTTCACCAAGAAAACAAGAACGAGGAGACTTGCATTGCAGGATATAACTATGAAAATATATTGAAAAACGGTTACAGCTTAAATCAACTTAAATCGAAAATTAAGTCGTTAATAAGAGTATACCGCATCAACTTGAACGGCTTTATGATTATGCACAGAAGTCCCAGATATTCTGATAAGCGCGACTGAATCGGCAGTGTAAGTTTCATCATTTAGACCTTTGTCTGCAGTATAGTTCTTATATCCAGAGCTTAGTCCACCCTGATAAAATAATATTTTCAGATTTAATTAAAACCTTCTAGATTCTGGATTTAACTTATAACCAAATGTACCTTAAGAATCACTAGGAACTGAAAAATGGCAACAAATTGGGGCGGCTCTTTCCCTTGAAATATACGACCCTGCACGACATTTCATCCCAAGTTCAATATAGAGATATCAGATATATCTCAGTGGTTAAAAGGAGAGGAGAAAACAGAAATACCAGCACAGGTCTCCCTTTCAGTGAATTGCACATCGAGGTAGCCAACTTAGAAGCCATATTTTGGTTCTCCTAGATTCATAGCACAGAACTTTACATGCTGAAAACATCTCAAAAAATAATCACTCACAAGCTAACAATAAAAGACAGCACACTGATAATGCATGTTGAAAACAAAGTATGAGACAGACCCGCCCTTTGCACTAAGCAATTACTCCCACTCATCTTACGTGTCATTTTAATATTTAAAGGTGAAAAATTATAACTAACTGTCTTCGGTTATCTTATTGCTTTAAGATTCCCTAGAATATTAGCTCATGCTTAATTAACTAATCAAATAATTGCATAATTTATGTTCAGTACTAAGCACATAAAATGGGTAGGGAAGGCTGCATGAATAAATTTATTTTTTTAACTGACAGTAGAATGATAGATACCTCAACACTATCCTTTCCAACCCACCAGCATAAGTAATAATCCTCTTTCTTATCATGAGAGTGATAAGTGTATAAAACTATATAGCAATCTCCACTGTAGAATTTACCAACATCCTCTTTAGGAACCAGATTCTTCGAGCTGCCATTAATGCACCAAACCTGATATAGAGGCTGCATCATTAGTACTCTGTATTCTCTTTAAATACATGAAGAGCTCAGCAACTGTCGCCATTATAAAGGGCAGCTGCACAAAGCATCCCCTCCAGCGGCTTAGCCAGGGCACTGGGCCAGGCCGGTAAGAAGGATTTTTTTGGATACATTTTTACACTAATAAAAAAAGAATTGGAATTTAGGGTGGGCCGGGACCTAGGTTTGTGCCTACCTCCGCCCATGGTCCCCTCATAGAGAGGATCCTGGGAGGGTCCCACCACAAGGATGTGAACCTTGTCTTCTAGGGCTCAAACTCATACCTCAAGGTCACACGACATCACATCAACTAATGCGCCAAGGCTCCCCTTTAACTATCACTAGTATACAAATATACAATAACAAATAAATAACACAAACCTCTATTCTCCCCCCTGCTTCTAGCAAAGGGGGTACTTCCTCATTTACTGAGTCACTCTTGCCTGCCCCTTTTATGCCCACACCTTGTTGCTTGAGCAAAGCTAAAAGGAAGAAGATGTGATAACTTACAGTAGCTTATGCATATAAACACACACGACAGCAACCACAACCAAGCCTTACTCCCAAAAAGAGTTTAGGATAAGCTAACATGAATAGACATATGATATCAGAGAAAATACAATAAATAGAGAAAGATGGAAACAAACACGCACACACAAACACATATTCAGCATTCTATATAGCCCTTGGCCATACCTGCAACTTTTCCTCTTCCCTCCTCGGGAGCAGGTGTTGACCCAGATGGCCAAGAATCAAACTTGGACTTGAATGAATGAGTCTCATAACCTTGAATAAGTCGAGTAATACGTGTCGAATTGGGTCTGTTCTGAGAAGCTATTAATGCCTAAAGATAGCATTTGGTATAATGGTATTAGAATCTCTATGACATTAAGTAACATGCAGCGATGCACATAAAAATAACTGGGGCATACATAAAAAAGACTTTCTACCTCTGCTGTTTGAATGGCAGATTTCCTCTCATTCACTTGTGTTACGCGTCCCACCCAAACAAATACTTCATCACCGCAATCTAATAAATAACATCTGTTGTTTTCCAAACAAGATTTTGAAAGTTCACCCTCCACTGGGTCAGCTTGACCATCACTTATGCTGCAAAAGGAGCAAATTTGCACCTTATTGGTGAGTAAACATATGAACAAGCACAAGTATATCCTGATATGGGAGGATTAGAGCAGACTAATATAAAGAAGATTAATTCTCCCCATCTTCCAGAATAATTTATTTACCTCCGGAATAAATTAATGAAATTTCTGATTTTGGTACATTTTTTCTAGAAGGAAAACAATGATTCTTACAAGTGATTTGAAAAATCACATTCACATAGCCTTAATTCTAGTTAGAACACATAAATTGCAATATTTTACCCTTTAAAAGGTCCAACCGTTAAATTTCTACAGTTTATCTCACCTAATAGTGATTTGAAACTTTGAAGGGAAATTGATGACCCAAAGCATAACCAAAATCATCAAGAAATATTTAAATATATCTTTTAGGCAAAAAAATGAATGTTTCTTCATTTCTGAAACTCTCTCAAGGAAATTATATAAAAATCCAAGACTTTCTGTCAAGTTTTTTTTTATCGTAAAGTTTTTTTTAACTTTCTGTCAAGTTAAAACATGCAAAACTGCAATAGTAATAATAATGTAATAATAATAATAATAACATTCAAAGGTACCTAAAAAGTTTGGGAGGGGTCTTCTCTGGAATAATATCATCATCAGTAGCAACTTTCTTACTGATTGGAGCAAATCCTCCAAAGAGCACCCAAAATTCACCAGAATTTGATTCAACTTGTAAATTTCCATCATCTAGTGAGTGCAAGTACCGGGTTCAGATAACATCTGGTAATTTACACGCCTATAGTTTCTGAGGAAATTATAGATTACAGTGTAATTATTATTGCTATTGAAAGCATACCTACAATAGCAACGTCACACTTTCCCTCATGATACTTGTCTTTAAAAAACTGAATCACTTCCAAAGCTTTGGCCCTCTCCTGAATATTAGAGTTTGCACCATTGAACTGATATATCTTATCTTTAGTATCCAGAATAAACACATCGTCGTGATTTAGTGATGAGCGGGAAAATGGGACCTGGCAAAAAACTAAATGAGATTACATACCCTTGTAGATCAGCAGAAATGGGCATATCAGCTAATTCTCTAGATATACTTTAATACCTGCTTCAACCTGACAACCCTTTTTCCTTTGCAAACATATAACCGTGTTTCAAATTCTTCTTCCTCCACCGCCTTAAATCCCGATGCAACCCCACCTTCCAGTGGTATAATGCAGGGTTTGAAATACGACAAGAACTTATCAGTTTCATGACCTTGGATTTCTCTGTACTGAACTGCTCGACCTCCAAGAATCGCATCGAGTTCTACAGTTTTGATTGCAGCTGTTCCAGCTTCATCCTAATGTATCAACATGTATTTTTTTAAGATAAAGAATAACATATCAATTATTTTTTATGGAATGTTGTTAACCATGAAAGAAGATAAGGGTATACCTGACTAGTATCTTTTCCAAGCCAGAAATGTAAATCATACAAATAAGCACCACCCTTACCAGGAGATGTCTGCAAACAAAATGGAAATCACAAGGAGCAGATTACTACCCCAATAACTTATATTAACCCAACTACAGCTACGTTGTAGCAGCACAGAATTGAGAAATCAGAAGCACCTGCAATATGATGTAAGAGTCCCCTGAATAGAATTTTCCATAATCAGATTTGGGTAACGGAACTGGTTGGAAACTTTCAATTCTCCAAATCTCAGTCCCACTAGATGAAGTTAAGCTGATAAAAACACCATTATGAAATAGTCCAATCAGTTCCCATTCACAATATGCTAAATTAATCTCAGCCATATAATTTTCACTTCTTAAACTTTGTACCCAGTCAAATTGGAGTTAATTTAGGGGAGAGGTGAAAGAGTGAGTTTGTAGGGTCTACCTCTAATACTTATCTAAATGGTTAAGATTAGTTCATTATAAAGATGGAATTAAGCACAGTAAAATTTAAATTTCTAGATGACCTAATGGTTGAAACTAATAGTTAAAACTAATGAGTATAAAAAAATTGGATCATTGAATTCATATTTTGGCCTAAAATGAAGTTGGCCTGCCAGCCTGATATGAAGATTACTCCATAGCACACAAATATAAAGGGAGAGGTAATACATGAGGATCTACAAGCAAACCACACTTCTCTCTATGTTCTCTAAATACTTGATTTAGTTGCTAAGTTAATATTGCAGAAAGGATACACTCTTTGGCCTGCTCCCTGAAATGCTGGTTCCAAGTCTTTCACCGAGGTCGTCATTGTATTAACTCCTCAAATCCCTTTAAAAGGACACTGTATACCTTGAAGGGTTCCTATCCTCAGCTATTACAATGACCTTCCGATACAAATAATGATAATAACTGCAACGACAACAGAGCTCGAAAGTTAGAGAAACTTTGTGGGTGTGTGAAACTAGGGGGAGAATCGAACTGCCATTCCAGAAAATTAGGACATATGATGCTTTACTGGTGCATTAAGCAAAATATTGCAAAACAATTGCTAAAGGGAAGGCAACCAAAATGTTTGAATGCCCAGCAAGGAATTCAACCCTTTCAAAAATATTAGGACTAGGAAGGTAAGGTTTAGAAGAAGAGCAAACATGTTAAGTTTAAAGCAATGAGCAGGACTTGCATAAATTCTTAATAACCCTCATACTGTCTTCAATAACAATAGTTCACAAGAACTATCTGAGGTGTTCTTTAAACGTCAGAAGCTACCAAATACACATCACATTTTCACTATGCATGACTGGACAAGTGGATCAATGGATCACAGTGTGTAGAGGCTAAGGCATGACCAGTCAAAACCTTAGAAAATGGTAAGAACAATATTGTTTTTTCAGGGAAAAGAAAGGAACAAAAATTGCCACAATCTAAAACAGAAAAAGAGTCGAAGTCATAATGATAATAATAATATAAAAATAATAATATACGGAGTAATATAAAAGAAAAACTCTTTCATCAACATCTATTATGAGTTATTACAACCTCCCTTAAGTCCATTATTATCTGACAGCTAAGCTGAGGTTGACCTCTGATATATTCCAAACATTCAAATGCATATATCATAGAGTGGTATAAAAAAAACTGCATGTGGAAACAAGAAGCTCGCGATCTTACTAATATAGCAAGGTTAGTAGATTATGGATAAGATCCCATCTTTAGGTAATTGTATCATCTAACAAACTAACAGATACGACCAAAATCTAAGGCCAATTTGATGTATTCATATGCTTAGCTATAAGGCCTTCAGTTATTCAACTTATTAATAGATCAAACAGATTCTGATTTTAATCAAGTACGCGACTGCTTAACTGAATAGTTCTAAAACGAAAAAAACAGAAGCAATAAATTTCAACAATCAACAACAAAATATAGATCACACGCATAAAGAGAAACACACTCAATAAGCACGTCAACATCCATAAACGATGGTGAGCGACAGAGCTCAGAATTAGGAGTAGAAACTAACGAGCATAAGAGTTCTGATCAAGTATAAAAAGATCCACATAGTTAAATAGTTTTTAAAAGCGTTAATCGACACCACCGCACAAGAAATCCCTTACCAGCAATTTATGTTGTCGATAAACTGGCGATTGTGATCAAAATAACGGCTCTTGCTAGAGAGAAGAAAATAGTATAGAGAAGGCCGAAAGAGGGAGTGAAGTGCATAGGAGAGCTGGCAAAGAAGAGAGAGCTTATGTAGATGAGGAAAAAGCAGTGAATAATAATTGAAAGTTTCGGCTTCTCTCTGTCCCGAAGCTTTTTTAGGCTTTTAAGATTTGAGTGCAGAAATGTTGGTATATCTTTTTCAGACAGAGGGTATGTACGAATATGGAGCGTTAATGGCTCGCACAAGCTGATTTGTATATACTTCTAGAGAGAGAGAGGAATTATGAATTTATGATGAAGATGACGAGAAAGTTTGTTTTCTGGTTTAGGCACCGGCCATATTCGCTTTTCGTTGTCAACAATAATTATTTTGAGAATCACTTCCAGAGCTCCATTTTCCTGTTCTCCATTTTCTGTTTTTATAACTGTTTCGTATCCAGTTATATAGAAAAGAAATCATCCATCTTTTTTATCCAGCTCTTAGAGCTCGTTTGGTAGCACCAAAATCGGCTGTTTTGGCTGATTCTGCTGAAATTTATGATATTCTGGCCGGAGTGGCTGTTTTGGCTGATTCTGCTGATTTAAGAAAAAAATATTTTAAAAATATATTTTATTAATAAATTAAAGAAAAAATTATATGTAAAAATAGCTAAAATGGTCCTCTACAGTAACTTCAGCCAATAAAGCCAGAAAAGTAACTCCAACCTTACTTTTTCGGCTTATTACACAATTCAGCGCGTGAAAGTAAAAGTTACGTGTTTGGTGAAAAAGCTGGCTGATAAGCCTGATAAGCCGAAAACAGAGTTCTCCAAACGGGCTCTAAATGATTTAGATACTCCCTCCCTTCTTTAATATTAGTCCTCTTAGGCTTTGGCACGGGTTTTAAAAGGAAAGTAGTAGGAATAGTGTAAAAGGTGTAATGAGTAGTGAGTAAATGAAAAGGTAGGAAAGAGAAAGGGGTAATGGTAATAAAAGTTGTGGTATAAAGGTATATTTAGAGTAAAAAATTTCCTTAAATGGAAAGGAGGACAGATAAAAAAAACGTCCCAAAAAGGAAAGAAGGATTAATAAAAAAGAACAGAGGGAGTATATAAAAAGAAAATTTGTCTGTTGATAGAAAAATAATAAAGTACACTAATATGTCTCATGATTCACCTAAGTAAAAATGTATTGACTTGAAACTTCTCTTACATATTTGTTAACCAAAATCTTATCTCATGGATCTAAGTTCTCTTCAATGTTTTTCCAGCCTCTAACCCCATGTATGGTTGGGGGATTTTGGAGGGGAGGGGAGGGGATGATTAATTTTTTACTTTATTAATTTATCTGAATTTGTTAGTTTTTTACTACAAATAAAAATATAGAGAATTTACCCTAAATAGGACTAAAAATGTTTGTAAATTCCAAAATGGAACTGTCATGTTTTTAATTCCCAAAATGAGACTAATTACTGTCATGTTTTGGCAGTACCAGACTTTAAACATGGCAGTATTTTCCAAACTTGACAGTATTTACTCCTATTTTGGGAATAAAAACATGACAGTCCTATTTTGGAATTTACAAACGTTTTTGGTCCCATTTCAGGAACTTTCCCATAAATATATAATTAGTTAAATCATGTATTTTTATATCCTATTGTGTCCTCATTTTATTTCAATTTTTCTAAATGTAAAAATTATTTTAAATTTAAATAAGACTTCTCTCCTTCCCTCCCCTCCAAAATCCCCCGACCATACTGGCCCTAAATGGCAAGGAAACAACTCATTATTCCCAAGCTTAGACGAAATAATAAAGTACATCTCATGATTCACCTAAGTAAAAATGTATTGACTTGAAACTTCTCTTACATATTTGTTAATCAAAATCTTATCTCATGGATCTAAGTTCTCTTTAATGTTTTTCCAGCCTCTAAATGGCAAGGAAACAACTCATTATTCTTTAGCTCAGACGAAATATCAGAGACACGAGTACTTAGCGTCAATCATGTGCAAACTTAAATGACTTCAGACCTTATTACAAAATTTGAGGGGTGTTGCACATATTTACAACAAAAGTAATTATAGCTAACTCAACACAAGTAAACAATGTTGGAATCAACCGAACACACTTCTAAGGTTTATTCGACTTTTGGAAGGTTTTGCATTGTACCATGAGGTCTCAATTTACCGCTTTTCATGTAATTCAAAATCATATTTTTCACAAGAGAATCAAACTTATCAACATCAAGTGTCATTTGTACGGGATGATCTATATATAAGCAGACATCATTTTCACAAGTCATGGTTTTACTCAGGCTTTGTTTGCAACCACTTGTGCTTAAATAAAAGCACTTTTTGGGAAAAAGTGATTAGTAGTAAAAGTTGGTAGTGTTTGGTAAAATAAGTGCTTTTTGTATAATAGAAAAAGTAAAAAGTAGATTCTACACGAAAACCGAGATAGTAAAAGTTGGTAGTGTTTGATAAAATAAGTGTTTTTTTTAAAAAAGCCAAAAGCACTTATAAATAGAGGTGCAAACAGAGCCTCATTTTCATTGTGCTCACATTCTGACCAAGTTTCTTGGGGGAAAGAAATAAGCAGACATCATTTTCACAAGTCATGGTTTTACTCATTTTCATTGTGCTCACATTCTGACCAAGTGTCTTGGGGAAAAGAAAATTCATATTTTTCCCACTGATGTTAGGCATTTCTAACATCTAACAACATTATAATTGTGAGTGAGTGTTAGTACCCTTAATTTGTGTTAACACACTTTGTGCTTGAAAAATTGTACATTCTAACAACATTATAATTGTGAGTGAGTGTTAGTACCCTTAATTTGTGTCAACACACTTTGTACTTGAAAAGTTGTACATTGCTCTTAAAAAATGAAACCCAACTTTTCCAATGACTTTTTTAACCTTACATTCCGTTAGTACTAGGGCTGGGACTTTGGAACCAAGAACCGGAGAACCGAACCGGACCGAACCGTTATGACCCGGTTCGGTTCGGTTCCAACATTTATTAGTTATTTGTTAACGGTTCGGTTCCTAATTTTTATTAACGGTTCGGTTCTCGGTTCCTGAAAAAAATATGTACCAAGAACCGTTAAGGAACCGTTATATATAATAATTAAAATTAAATATATCTTTTATGAATATATATATTGTAATGTATATTTACTTGTTTATTTTTATATTATATTCATTATTTTAGTTTAGTTATTTAACTATTTAAAACTATTATTTATTTCAACCGGTTCTCTTAGGCTTCTTAGGCCTCTCATTAGGTCCAAACTCCAGCTGGTCGGAACTCGGAAGGTCCAGAGTATTTAAAATTATTATTCTCTTTAACTGGTTCAGCATATATGTATTGAGATTTCCAACGTTGAATGTCTTTTTGGCAAAAATTTAGTCGTGATTTGAAAGAATTTTTTCAAAGACTAGGAACCGTTAAATGACAAGAACCGAACCGTTAAGAACGGTTTGATTCCTTATCGGTTCTTTAAAATCATTTATAAGAACCGAACCGTTAGTAAAATTTCATATTTTCAAACGGTTCCACATATTTTGCCTAGGAACCAAACCGGTCCCAGGCTTAGTTAGTACATTGCTCTAAGAGTTAAAACCTGAAACGTGTGGCTTTATGAGCAACTTTGAAGATGTGTGCAATTTATGAGCTTTAGAAGTATTCCTTGAAATGAGTCTTTTATTTTCTTTTTAATAAATAAATTCTTTTCAATCAAGAAAGTTGTTCCATTTTGTTGAAGAACAGACATCAAATTAGATACGTTCAAAAAACTCCTTTGTGATATTTTGTACAATACATATGCTTGTCACAAGTTAGATAAACCACCAAAAAAGAGAGAAAACTAGAAGATTTATGTGTATATTCGGACTGTTAAAAATAGACCGACCATAATTTGGATTGGAAGATCACCCCTATAGTGACCGGTCATGAGGGAAGCTTACTGGTCACAAGAGACTATTATTGAAAGATGACCCCTATAGTTGGGACTAACCCTAGATATTATATCCCTTTGCTTGTAGAACACTGAAAGTTTTTTATACTTTAGAGCTCATCCAACATGTACACCTACACTTATACTAGCTCAATATTCACTTTAAGATATTTGATAACACTACTCTCAAAGTTTGTTATAAAAACTTGTGTCAATACAAGTATTTCATAATTAAACAAAAAACAATATAGACGGTTCACAGAGTGACACATCTTTAAAAACTAAAAGCAAATTTTCTACAGAATAGTTGGTGAATTGCGAATATAATTGATCATAAAGATCATCAAAAGTATAGAATATTTCATACACTATTTAAGAAATGCTCACAACAATCTCACATATAATAATACAGTTACTAAAAAGAGCATGACTTTAACATTGGGCAACTTTAGGGCATGGTGGTATTAAGCTAGTAATTATGTACTTATGTACGGTGGCGGATCCAGGATATAAACTTATTGGGGGCGGAGTAATTAAAAAATGCATTAGTAAAAAATTATCGAAGTATTAATGTAATATTACAATATCAAAAGATTTGATAAAAAAATATGAAGTATATCACTATTGTTCGCGCCAAATTTTCGTTTAATTTGTAACAGTTTCAATCACGTCTATTCGATAAAACAACTTAGAAGATCACTCACAAAGTTATCACGAATCTATTATACTATCGTACAAATTAGTCTTCACTATTTCATACGGTTGTTTAATTTTTACAATTGGTAAAGTCAATGCTCATTTTAAAAGCTAATACGCCAAACGATGTAAAAGATCATCGAGACTTTTCAAACTAGCAAACATTTCATCTGCTAACACATTATATTTTAAATATAAATACTTAGTTGATGTTGATGAGTTTAACTTTCCATACAACTAAAGTCACTTGAATAAGATTCGGCCAATCTAATCGACTTTGATGTGTCAGACTCACGAAAGAATAATCGACTTAACCAGATAGTAGTTCATTTTATTTAACTATCTAAAATTAAACATATTATATACATTTAGGATTTTTAACTTACTATATGACACTTTCCATTTTGTAAGTGTAAATTACTATAATCTAGTAGATGTATAACTATTTCAGTAACTTATTCATCATCATCATCATTACAATAGGGCCTCAAAGGCTCCCACCTACGGTGGGGTAAGGGGGTCGGATGTACGCAGCCTTACCCTTGCACTAAAGCACAGAAAGACTGTTTTCAGATGACACATAGTGAAAATCGCGTCGAAAGTTACAAAGAAGCGCTGATAGTTTAGTGAGTCATTTTGCTTTATTTCAATAACTTATTAATTAAATTAAATATAATTGATATAAATCAATAATCTGTAATAAATTAATAACATTATAATAAGTTTATTGACATTTTTTAATATTTATATTTATATAAAAATTAAAAATAGAATATGGCCTTATGGTAA